ATTTGCTAAGACTGATTAAATTAGTTCTTACAAATCGTCAAATACTAATAAGTAAGTAACCTTTACCTGCACCTGCAACGCCGTGATTTATCCAGCGTCTTAACACTCTTGACTGTCTAGCGCTGACCAAATAAGAATAGCAAAGTCAAGTGACTTTCCACTCAGCAAATTCTACGGAGGCTGCCTTTGAGCGTATCTTAGGCAGTGGTAGGCGTCATCAGACTGCGGAGGTCAACCTGTTACCTGACAATGGTTCCAGGGATGCGTCTGCCATTCACCTCCAAGCCGGTGCTTGCCCCTGCACCTGCAACGCCGTGCTTTATTCAGCGTCTTAACCTCGTAAGCCCGGATGTGCCTCAGAAGGAACTAAAACTTTGTAGTCAGTAACGCCGAGACATTTTCGGAGGTGAATTGTAAGTATCGCCGGATGTGCCTTCAGTGGAACTAAAACTTTAGCGATAATTTTAAGTTCAAAAATTCGCGCCTATCGAACAAAAAGAGTGATAGTCTTTGGCTTAAACTATTCAAAATCAGGTATCCGAACTTATTAATGTAAAAAAAACAAAATGTCACTGTCAAATTATCATTTTTCTTTGACAAGGTGGTTCTTCCGAGAGGACGTGATGTACGATTAATTTTTTTTCTTCACGAAAGCGTTGTTTAATTGAAAAACTAACCAGTATAATTTAAGTTTAAATACTGCTAAACAAGCAAAAAAAATATTTTTACCAATTCGAAGAAGTTTTGTAAAATTTTTTTTCGTTTGAAAATAATAGTTCTTTGCAAGGAACATTCGGTCTTGATGGTGAAAGTGTTATTTTTGTACATTTTTTTCTATTGATATGGATTGAGTATTGGACTTTTAAAATTATTATATGATTGAGAAAATTTACTATGAGAATTTTCTAATTTTTAATTTAGTAAATATTATAATTAACATGAATATTCACTTTACTTCTTGTACATTCTAAACTATCATTAGTGTATGTTATAAAACCGATAGTACTTTTTAAAGTACTAATTATGAAACATTAAATAAAATTAAAACCGTTGTTCCTTTTCAGTTACATTTATTAATATCATTATTGTATCCTTATGTAGTATTAATTTAGTAAGAAGGTTGCATTTATGTTTTACTTTAAAGTATAAAATACAATTTATTTACTTTTCCTTTTTATAGTCTGTAATACCGAATGTTCTTTTAAGAGAAAACATTTTTTTATTATTTTTCACCTAAAATAAGCTCTATGCACTATTATATAGGGCCCCTGAAAATATGAATGCAAAAGAAAATCTCTAACATAGAAATTTTTTTACTCGAAGTGCTCGGCGTTTACTACTACAAATTATTCGTTCTTCTGAAAGCACATTCGGTGATACTTAGAAGTCGACAAAATTTACTCTTCGGTCTTACGAGGTTAACACTCTTGACTGTCTAACGCTGACCAAATAAGAATAGCAAAGTCAAGTGACTTTCCACTCAGCAAATTCTACGGAGGCTGCCTTTGAGCGTATCTTAGGCAGTGGCAGGCGTCATCAGGCTGCGGAGGTCAACCTGTTACCTGACAAAGGTTCCAGGGATGCGTCTGCCATTCACCTCCAAGCCGGTGCTTGTCCCTCCAACGCCGTGCTTTATTCAGCGTTTTAACACTCTTGACTGTCTAACGCTGACCAAATAAACCGAAACCCTGTTAAAACAGGTGCTGAAATTACCATATAAGTACCGCTCAGCACGAGCCTGCTCCTCACAATATTCCTTCGCAAGAAGGACAGACCAACCAAACAACCTATTCTATTAAACGTCCTAATCAGTAGATACAATTATGAAAGTATTGATCCGATCTGAAGTAGTTGAATGCTAAATTCTAAATCTGGATGCAGATACCGATCACAGAGACACCGCCGGCCTCTCCGCATGTCTTGTCAAGGTACCCTAAAATTATCAATCTCTCGTTCTCTACTGCATACCGATAAACATTGATACAATCACAAACTACTTACTAAACCTCGTCCTTTGACAAACCAGACGAGACAGCAACTACTAGAACGGAAGGTTAGTGTGTAACATTTTATCTTCTGGAACACTTTAAACCTTGTCAATTACGTGAACTCAGGTTCAACAAGTCGTCATCTCTAAGGGTTTTGTCGGTAAATACGAAATCTATACGACCCAACAAGTGCCTATAATGGTTAGCTTAATCTCCAGTGAGGGCTCATCACAACTCGACCCCACACAACCGATCCAATACACAAGACTCCAGCCCAGCATCTCTTAACAACCATCTGGATGTCTACAAAATATCAGACGTCATAATCAGCGATGGGGGATTTCTCATTCTTTCATTCATTTCATGTGCGTTCACTAATAAAATTTTGCTATCGGACAATCAAAGCATAGCCTATACTTGAAACTAAGGGAGGAAGGGGCACATTCAGAACCTCTATTGGAACTGTCTCTCTAACTTTTCAACTTGAAAAACATCACCTCCTTCCGGTTCAGTCGGGTAAAAATAGCTCTGACAACGCAAAATATTATCTCCCAGATCGATTCAATCAATTTTATCTGACGATCTAGGTCGATTTACGGGGAAAACAACCTACTTAGTGGCATCTCCTGGGTTCAGATCCAAAGGTAAATATTCCAAAAGTTCGGGAAACTGAATATCCAGAGACCCCACAGAGATTCACCAGCAGCCTTTGCAACGACTTCAACCAGGGTGGCTATGGTGGTAAACTAGGCTAAATCTTTGCTGTCCCGTTTCTCACCACGGCAAAAGGTACCTGCTTAGCACCTCGAAGTGACCTTTTTGGCTTTTCTTAGCAGGGCTCGAGGCCGACCCTCAAAATACAGAATCTCCACCATGTTCTTACCACATGGTGACCTCCACGTCAGGATCAGGTAACACGTAATTTTTTAGTATGTTGAGTTGGGGGTAATAAGGTATCGTTCCTAAAACATACCTGGCAAAA